GGCATAGATATAACTAGCTTTGATAAATATTTTTTCAGCTTGTGTTTTTGAGCACTGCGCATGACACCATTATTAAAAAGTGACAGGAAACGAAGTCAGTTTATAGTAAAAGTAGTCTTTTATTTTCTTTTTTAGTTTTTTCTAGACGATAACTGCCAAACGCAAAAATAATGTCAAGGGATCAATTGATAAATTTTTATTCTGGTCTGAAATAATAGAGTAGAGTCATTTAAGATTTTTGAGTTGATTACTTTTCTTAAGGGATATTTCTGCGTATGCCATATCATTTATTTGTGCCTGTATTTATGCACCAATGATTTCCGAACAATCAGAAGTTGCCTGAATAAATTTATCTACAATCCCCAAGCCCAAAGCTTCAAGATATTCTCTTACACCAAATAGGCTATCAATATCAAACCATCATTTAATTTTTTGAAAACCTTTAAAGTGATTCTTTCCGCGAGAAGTTCTTTACGCTCCTTATTTGTGTTTCCTTAAGGAACTGTTTATGTACTTTTGGGTGAGTGCATGCTGATTCTTAAACTTGCTGCAAATATAAACATAATGATTTTATATTATAATTATTGTGCCCAGTCGAGGCAAGTAGATTTAATATATATTTTGGTTTAGTAACTTCTAATTACTATTTTTTTCCGATCGACTAAACTCTTGTATAATGAAGTATCACCATTTTTATTATGCATATTCGAGTTGTACATTACTTTAATTTTAGCTTTTTTTTTATCGCTTAGTTTAATTCAAATTTCCTCCAACAATATAGATAAGATAGCCAATGCAGCAAACTTATGGCCTTAAAGACTCCGAGCAATTTCCTATGCAAAAAACATATGGTTGACTGTTACTGAAGCATAAACAGTATCAAGAGCAGTTTTTAATCTACTTCCTTCCATCAATATTGCAGTAGCTCCAAAAAAACTCTTTAGCTGATGAAATTCACCAATTCTAATATTTTTTTAAAGATTTTAATCTGGTTGTCAAACCTTATATTGGACCAATTATCTTTCCTATCCCTAGGTAATCTATTATTACTTGTGTGCTCAATAAAATTTCCATTTGCAATTGATATGAAACTTAATCCGCGATGTGTGTTTTTACTATCAATAGCCGCTAAATCATTATCTTTGTTATCCCTAACAAACTGAATAGATGTTGTATCTTAAGGGCAAAGTATATCGTTAATTTTATCGTGTTTCACTATGTTTTGCTTGTAACAAATGACCTGCTAAATAATTTTTTTTTTTCATTGTATTCTATATTGTTATGTCTGAAGTATAGATTTTTAAATAGATAAACAAAACTAAAGTTATCAATAAACAAACAAACTTTGTCGTAACTTGATGCAAAACATAGTTTAGCAAGCAGAATATTTACCCTCATTGAATAAAGTACATTATCAACGGTAACAGATACTCCTAACTGTATTTACATTATTGATTGTTCCATCACTGCGGAAAATAATGCTTGTGAAATTGATGTTTGTTTTAATGGTATAGGAATTAGTTTTTTGATAAACACTTTCAGCAGAAACGGTATGCAGGTACTTTCCGTGTCAGTTAGATCTTCTAATAAAGGTTTTTACATCATGATAAAAGTTCTTTATACTCAATAATTTTGCTACTGCAGATTTGACTTTTTTGTCGTCATTTCGTCATTATTTTTTTCCCTAATTTATAAGTTTTCGCATAATGTATGTCTAAATCTGTCCAGTTTGATTACATTACTTTAACTTTGTCGCGAGACCAATTGCATATAATCTCCATATTTTTCTTAACTTATTTTAAGTCATTTTAAGGGAATGTATTTCTTCTTCTAATGTTTGCATGATTTCGTAAAGCTCAGAAACTGTGAAAGGATCAATATCTTCCTCGAGCTTTATGCATGCTGCATAAAAGACATTAGGCTTTTCTAGTAAAGTAGGCTCGATGCAGTAACATGTCTTTCAAATTTTGGCAATAAATGTGATACTGTGCTTTAACGGCTACAAGATCCTAAAAATTCAAATGTTTAGCTTCAATTGTTTTTGATTTAAAAAGTTGTTACACTCTTTGCATAATACTAGAGGTACATGATAAATTTTTGTTGATTTTGTTCTTACTTCTATGAAATTATTTGACAAATGTCAAGTGTACACATATTTCCACAATAAAAATATTGTTCTTTAAAGTTAAAAAAAAACTTGTTCCGACATTTTCTATCTATAGGAGTTTCCATTGATGATTGTGATCTTTAAATTGGTTTCTCAATTTAGTTTGACACAAAGAGTGAGAAAACGTTTCTCCTGCCTCTTTTTTTTATACAGTTCATAAACCAATACATTCAAATCCAATTTTGAAGCAAATTCATTTATTTTTTCAAGAGCTTCTTGTTTGAAAAATCTCTTCCGAATTTTGCTCCCACTCGGCTGAACAAATCTCCTTCTAATTTCATTTTACATCACAATACACTTACAGAGGACTCATTTTTTCAGTCCATAATTTTTGAATTTTGCTAGAAATTAATTTTAAAAGCGTTTACAAAACAAACTTTTGCAATTAAAATATATATTTTGAATTATTTGTATTATCATTTGAAGATTAAATAATTTGTATTAAAATTTAAAAATAACAAATCATTAAATTTATTTAAGTTAAATAAATACAACATGTATTTAAATGTACATGTATTTATGTATTACACAATTTTATAAACACCAATTAAAGTTATTTACAAAAAAGCTTTTGATTAAAATTGCCAAAGCAAACGATTATATTTTGAATGCATAAAGAATATTATATTCTAATAACTTTAGAATTTAAAATGTAGAACTGCAACTTTTTAATACCTTTGCCCATTTTTGATACCAAAACACAGTTTAACAAAAATATTTGACAAAAAACAAATAAACAAACAAAAAAAGGCCTCTTGCAAAAACAAAATAAGGTCCTCTGAGGAGCCGTGGCCCCTGCGGTTTCGGAAGCCATGATTCTAGTAACAAATAAGATAATATACTCAGCACTCTTATACCATTTAAATAGAGTATTATTATAGTTAAAAAGCAACTTATTTTATAGCATGTTAAAAACTGATGAGCAATATTTAAAACTTTGTATTTTACCCCGTTTCTTTGTGACGTCATAACTTATCCCCCAAAAGTAAAAAAAACAAAACGACAATCACTTATTTTAAAGAGGAAAAAATAAGCATTCCATCGATATATAACATGTATTTAGAATTTTTTTTTCTTGTTTAACTTTTTTTTTTTTGAAATTCTACAGGCTTATTTTCTAAAAAAAAAAACCTTCTTGGTATCGAGGACTTTTTTCACAAATTGATGATTGTGCCCCCCCCCCCCCACTTCAAAACCCGTCTCGTCAGCCCTGACATATACACATATAGCTTTAAAAATCGATACATTTTTAAAACTCTCTAACCAACATTAAATTGAAAAAAAAAATACATACCGATGTAAACAACGCAATAAAACATATAAAAATATGAACTATACACTACAATGCCGAATAAACTATTCACAAGAATACAAAAATGAAAATTAAAAACAACATTATTTTTATACTAGAAATGGTAGTAAGAATTTAAAATCCACTTCTTTTCCTATTACATCAATTAAGATGACTCTTAATTGATGTAATAGGAAAACAATTGTTTATAATAATACCAGTGTATGTTGTATGTTGTATCTAAATAGCGTTCTGTATTCTGTACCCTATTTAAAACCAATAATTAAAGTTTACTAAAATTCTGCTTTCTTTTAAATAGTCTGTATTTAAAAAAATTAAATTATTTTCCTAATCATTTTAATTAAAAAATAAATATATTTTTTTAGCATTGTAATTTAAAATATTAGTTTGTTACAATTTTTTTTAAATTGAAAAAGTTATAATAATTGTATATTATATACACAATTTTCATATTCATTAAAAATTCTTAATTGATGTATCAGTGTTAATTTAAAAGTTTTAAAGTAATTTTCTGCTAACTTATTATTGGGTAAAAAATTTCTCAAAAAACATGGGGTAGCACCCTGCATCACCAAATTCGCTGAAATTTGGCACAAATGTTTAAAGATATAAGTTAGGAAAGACTGTAAAGTTTTTTCATAAAATTCTCAACCCTTTAAGTTATACAACAACTTGAAGTTAGTTATTTTTTGACTGAAAAAGAGGGGGAACAAAGCCGGAAATATGTCAATTTACCATTACCCTTTTAACAAACTTGTAGTAATGTTGCGAAGCTAAAACTTGGTACCAAAGAAGTTTAAAACCTGCTGACTCTGAAAATCATAAACTTATATCTCTCAAAACAATAAAATATAGTTTTTTTTTTTTTTGATCCACAAAACACACTTGTTAATGTAAAATAAAAAAGGCCATTGACAACTATAGTTCTAAAAAAAATCTGACTGATGAAAAAAAAGTTTTGGTTTTCGTTATTTTAAATATTAAACATATATCTACTTTGCGAACCAATTTTTATTTGGCCTTATGTTATATCAAGGAGTTATTGATGTTTTAATTTTTCAATTTTTCTGAAGATATTTTGCAAAAAAAAAAAATTTGCAAATATATTTTGAATACAAATATTATTATTTTTGTTTTGTAATAGCTTTGTAAAAAATTTACAAAGTTATTACAAAACATAGTTGAACATTTTATAAATTTGTTTCTTTTTACATTCATTACATAATAATAATAATTTTATTTTCATTACATAATATCATGTCATTAAATTTAACAATATTATGTAACTTTTCTTGTGATTGTTTTGTTGTAATAAAATATTTATTATCATCAATAAAAAAAGTAATAAAATCATATGATAATGTCTAATTAACATTACCATGTTAAGCTACATAACTAAATAAAATTATATTTAGTTATCTTTTACTTTTACACAACTTTTTGTTAGAAGTTAATGGAGAATTTACAATAATTAGTATATAAGTAATTATGGAGCTTGTTATAAACAATTATATACTTAAGAAAGAAATCTGATTGAAGATAATGACAGCAATGATCGTAAGCTACTTGAAAAACGAACAAATCTGAAACAAGAACAAATTACTAATATATGCACACACCATCATGATATGTTAATTGTAAGATATGAGGGTAATCAGAAAAGTTGCTGTAATCTATTTCTGAGTCACCAAAAGGTGTGCAGAGGTAAAAATTTATATATCTATATTTCATTAGGTACTATCATTATTAATAAGTCATATAAGTTTTTTTTGTAATAAGATTTGTTCAATGATTCATAGTTATTAATATAACAAATTGTATAGTAATATAATCACATAGTATATATAACTAATGTTATTTAAGTAATGTAATTACTTTCTTTTTACGCATCTCTACGTGTGATTACAAAACATACTTTGTTAGAAGCAGAAACCATAGGTTTAAATCTTATACCTGGAAAAAAATTGTGTCCAACATGTCGAAGTAAATTTATGACATGTTTATCAAAAAGTATAAGTGAAAATAAAAATGATGAAGATTTTGATATTATTAATGAAAGATCCATTCAAAATAAAAAAGAAAGTGTAGATACACACTATGCATCTGCCGGAGTATCTCCAATTAAGGTCAAAGGATTGCACAAGTGAGTTAAAATCAGAGAAGGTAAACGAAAGTTGACAGTATTAACAACCTCCATTAAAAAAAAAGTTGCCATTTCCCTTAATATATCAGAAGAAAGTTTTGATGAACAGTCAAGTTTTAATAATGAGTATATGGAAAGCAAACATGTTTCATAACATGATGGTATTGTTAACTAACAAAATTGCAGAGTCTACATCAAGATCAAAAAAAGTACAACTTGCGACACTTGCTCCAACAGACGGTCAATAAAAAAGGTATCTGAAACATTACATGTAACAAATAATGTAGCTCGAACTGCACATAAGTTAACAGTAGAAAAAGGTATTTTAACCATGCCTAATAATAAATTAGGAAAAGCTCTTCCTGATGTAACAGTTCAACTGTCAAGACCTTTTTATGTAATAAAAATGTAATGATGATCATTACGATGTAATGATCATCATTACATTACGATGTAATGTAATGATGATCATTACATCGTAATTTACATTACGATGTAATGTAAATGTAGCCGTGTAATGCCTGGTAAAAAGAACTATGTAAGCGTAAAGAAAAAAGTCTAGATGCAAAAACGTTTGCTCTTATGTAATTTAAAGGAATTGTTTCTTGCCTTTAAAACCAAAAACCCAGAAATAAAAATAGGATTTTCAAGGTTTTGCACCTTACGACCTAAATGGTGTATTAATGTTGGTGTCTCAGGAACACATTCTGTATGCGTCTGTACTATTCATCAGAATTTAAAACTGCTTTTACATCCTCTTGGTGTGACATACAAATAATTGTTATCTTATATTGTCTGTGATATAAATAATAAAGACTCTATGATGAGGAAATGTGAAAAATGCCCAGCAACTATGAATGCATTGGTTGAAAAACTTTATGATATACTTGGAGAATTTGAAGATGATGATGAGATTGAATTTGATCAATGGACAACAACAGATAGGTCAAACTTGACACATAATAAAGAGCCAGTGTTTGAATACATTGAACTAGTATGTAGAAAACTGGAAAAACTTGCACCACATTCGTATTTAGCAAAGAGTCAAGCATTATAACTGAAATCAAGAAAGGAAGATATGAATGAGGTAACAGCATTATTTCTGGGTGATTTTTCAGAAAGCTATAAATTTGTAGTTCAGGATGAAGTGCAAAGCTTTCATTGGACAAATTTACAATGTGCGCTTCATCCAGTGAATATTTATTTCAAAAAAGAAGGCATTCTCAAGCACAAGCCCTATTGTATTATTTCGGATGATATGATCCATGATGTGAACATGGTTTATAAAATTATTGAGGTTGTTTGCAATGATATAAAAACAAATTTGCCTCAAATAAAGAATATTGAATACTTTTCAGATGGGTGTGCAGGTCAATATAAGAATTGCAAAAATATGTTAAATTTTTGTTTCCATTGTGAAGAGTTTACTGCTAAATGGAACTTTTTTGCAACTAGTCACGGTAAGCAACCTTGTGATAGGATAGGTGGTACAGTCAAACGTTTAGAAACACTAGAAAGTTTGCAAAGAGATATGGGTAATCATATTTTATCTCCGAAAAGAATGTATAAATATTGCAATGAAAACATTGAAGGCATAAATTTCATATATATTTCATCAGAAGATTTAACTTTGGTGAGAACCTTTCTTAAAGAACGATTGGATACTGCTAATACAATACCTGGAACACGTAGTTACCATCAGTTTGTACCACTTAGCCATCAAAAGGTAAATTAATATTTTTTAAATATACCTTTTACCATATTTTAAAATACACGCATAACTTTTATTGATAAACTCAAATAAATATTAGATTTTTGCAGAATCATTATCAAAAATATTTGTACTTTGTTTTATTTCCTCTGCATTTGCTATCTATG